ATATTTTTTATTATTTATGTTACAGTATTCTCATTACCGGGCTGTTGGCATTTGGTGCTTATTGGACAACAAAGTATTTGATGAACATGCCCGAGGGGACTGCCTTAATCTCGTCTGTGGCACACGCAGGATCTTCAACCCCCAAATTCTAACCGCAAGTTACAATCAAGCACAATATTTATATCCGCAATCAAGTAAAGTAGTAATAAAATGAATTAAGTTGTTTAGTTGCGAGTAGTAAACTTTTTTTTTAATAAAATATAATTTGATGTAATTAGAATTCTTTTTACTCTTTAAAAAATTACCCTGAATATCGTGTTCTGGTGCGTGGCCAGGGGATTCATGGCTGATGGGCAGTTGCAAGCGCACTCTCAGCCGGGGCACCTGGGGCCCCCTCGGCATCTGCGACCTGACGATTCTGTTACGACCGAGGATGTCCGCGTTGCAATTCGGGAGAAGACGGGGTGCAGCGCGGACAACATTAAAGTCGACACCATCCGCCCCGGTTCGAGAGGCCTTGGTGCAGTGTGCCCAAAATTTTGGCCGACGCTACGGCGGCTTTTGGGCAAAGATCCTCATCGGTTTCGTAAACGCCAGAGTCACAGTTCTGGCGGCGAGACCGATGAGGTGTTTTAAATGCCTGGCCACGGGACATACTCGCATCAAGTGCGACAGCTGTTTTGACTGCGGCGGACTGTGTTTCCGCTGCAGTCAACCGGGACATAAGGCAGTAAAATCCTCTACCGCCTTTCACTGCCCAGGGTGTGCGGCGTGTAACAAGCCCGCTAATCACCAGATGGGGCAGGGAGGCTGCAAACCTCCTCGCAATTCTCAGCAAACATCGGGGCTAGCCAATCGGCCCAGGCTGCCTCCGACGTCATTCGTCGATTACGTCGTCGCCCATGGAGGAGGTTGTAGAGACGGTCCAGTAATCAGGATCTCTTTCTGCAAACCATGGCGCGGCAGTCGATCGTTGTGGCCGAAGCCGCGGAGCCCTATTATTTTCCTCCCCATATAAACAACACCATGGCAGTCATCTCCAGGCTCTACGGCGGCTCACTCCCCGCCCTTGTCGCTAAGAGACAAGGGCACTGGATCTGTTGCCGTCGAGTGGGGGGATCACCATATATGGTGTTTGGGGGGATCACCATATATGGTGTTTATTTCTCCGCCAACCGAAGTTTGAGCGATTTCGAGGACGAGGCACGTCCTTGTTTTGGGGGACTTCAACGCAAAATCCACTGCGTGGGGTTGCCCCAGGACGGAAGCAGGGGGCGAGGCCGTAGAGGAGTGGGCGGCATCGGTGAGCTTCTGTCTTCTAAACAGAGGCTCCACCAACACGTGCGACAGCAGGGGGGTCGATAGTGGACTTTTCGTTCGCTACCCCTGCCCTCGTCGCACGAGTTAGAAAGTGGCGTGTTCTGGAAGAGGTTGAGATGCTCTCGGATCATCTTTATATTCGATTTGAGCTCTCCCGGACCCAGGTTCTCCCCCTTCTGCGGTGGGCTGTTGCCAGGCTGAACAGGGAACTACTAGAGGAGGCAGCCATAATTCAGTCCTGGCTGACTGCTTAGGCTCCGACCGAGGAGGTCGACATGGGGGCTCAGCGATCAGCGATGAGGCCATGCCCCGCATCCGAGGTCGTTAGTCGTGCGGCCTGTACACGCGCAGTCGGCGGGTTCACTGCGGAAATGGTAAGGAGGACCGGCTTCATGAGGAGTACCGAGAGGCACGGCCAACTCTGAAGCTGGCCATTAGCCGCGCCAAAGAGATAAAGAGAAAGGAGATGCTGGAGAGTCTCGTCCGTGATCCCTGGGGTCGTGCCTATCACGCGGCGCAAGAAAAGCTCCGCGCGTCGGGCCCCTCTTACTCTCCAGCCCAGCTTCCTGCAGACAGTGGTTGAGGGCCTTTTCCCGCAGCGGGCGGAACGCACAAATCCGTCGATGGCCTCCTTGGTCGGAGACAATGGGGAGAATCAGATTGATGTTCTGCCTGTTACGGATTCGGAGGTAAGGGCGGCGCATGTCAGACCACCTCAGGTGTGGTGTTTGACGCTAGCTTGGCTACCGAGCGTTTCCCTGAGTGCTATAAGAGCAAGAAGCTGATCCTGTTAAGGAAGTAGGGACGGCTTGCCGATTCGGTCGCATCCTACAGGCCCAACGTATTGCTGGACGAGGCGGATAAATTGTTTGAGAGGGTACTCTCTGTCCGCATCTTCCGCCACCTCTACGAAGTGGGCTCCGATCTGTCGGACGCCCAATTCGGTTTTCGAGCCGGGCGTTCGACGGTCGGCGCTGTGCTGCGCCTGAGGGCCGTGACCGAAGAGGCGGTGAGCTGTGGCGGGCACGGCTGCTTCGGGAAGTACCTGCATTCGGTCACTAGGAGGGAATTGAGTCCCGCCTGTCACGACTGCGATTCCAGTGAGGACTCGGCTCAGCACACGCTGGCACTTTGCCCGGCTTGGGCGACGCAGCGCCGGGTCTTCATTGCAGTCATCGGGGGGATCTCTCACTACCAGCCGCCATACGCTCCATGGCCGGTATTGACAGATGTTTTACCGCGGTCGCATCTTTCTGCGAGATGAGGTATTCGACAATAAAAACAATATTGGTATGTAATTACATTTCAACCCGACATTTAGTATGTACAGAAGTATTTAATTTTTTATGTTCCCAGCATATTGTGTACGTGTTTAATAAACAGAAGTCATTGTTCATTTCGGAAAACGTAAAGACTTTTGCACATTAACTCATACCTAAGATTTTTTATAAAAATATTGTTTTTGAATACCTGTCATATTTTGTAGACAGTGATTTTTATTTAATGACGGCTTCTCTAAATATCTGACAGAGTCACTGGAATATACAGTGTATAGCCAAATAAAATCTGTGTTATATTTATTTGAAACGATTTTTGATCGATATATTTTGATTGATGATTGATACAAATTACAAAAGAGGAGGTTATCAATTCATCGGTTTTTTTTGTATGTTTGTTACGCGATATCTCCGTTAATTGTGAACAGAAGGTGTTAAGGGCAATACCGCTTATCAAGGTATAATGTATGTTTATTTTAGGAATATGTTAATACATTAAGGAGCATACCATGGATCGCACTATATGTATACGCATACACACTGTAGGATAGCCTACAGAGTGTGTATGCGTGTACCATTTTAGAGGAACATTGGATTGTGTAAATTTCTACTAAATTTATCAGAATATGGCATAAGAAACCATTTAATGATGCTATGAATTTAGTTAAGAACTAAGAGTTCGAATAAATTGCGCTCATATTTTAATAATTGTTATAAGAACGGATAAAAAATTGACTTTTTAAAAGAAGCAGACACTTAGAGTTCGAATTCTACGGTATACTAAAAAACGGAGAAAATGTTGCTTATTAATATAACCAAAGAAAAAAAATAAGCTGATACTGAAAACATGTCTTTATTGAAACGAGATCATTGTAAAGTAGCAGTTTTTTTTTAATGCGATTCATTTTGTAACAAGGTTTGTTAGAATAAAGACATTTGATTATTAAATTTCACAGGAGTACGTTATTTACTAGAATATGGTGTACGGATTGTAAGTAAATATTTACTACTCTTAGTATTATCTTATTACTTATCTACTACTTGGTTGGCAAATAAAGATTTGATTTGATTTGATTTGATTTATATTTGCGCCTGCAAAAGTTTTAATATCTCGATGTACCTGTTTTTAATCTTTTGACTAAGTTTAACGAAATATACTGAGTATATAAGTGAACGAACAAAGTATATAAGTCAGTTTTTTTTTTAAATCTCGTAGTGTAGTTGTTGGTAAAAAAACTATGTCAAGGCTGTACAGTGCAAAATTAGACGACAGTTTAATATCACTGACATTAGAAGTACTTTCGAATTAAAAGACCTGACGGACTTGTTGGTCTAGTAGTTTGGGATCAGTCCGCCGTGTGTGATATGTGTGGATTTATTATTACAAATCCTCGTCCGAGCCTCGTTTACACAATCGATGCGTTGTGCTAGAAAACTGTATATTTTCGCTTTTGAATGTTTATTTTATATTTTGAGCTAATTCAAACGATTGAATCCATTGCCACCACATATCAATGCCAGACACAGCCAGTGGATGAAATAATAGAGTTTTCAAGTGGGTAGTTGTTTAACCGTTGGCATTTAGCTTATTATGCGCAGCGAGTGTTCCAATTCTGTTCTCCTATCGGTAATGTGTGTAATTTAATCTTTCAGACGACAGTGTACAATGATGTAAACTACATAAAATCGTTTCTTTTTCAAATGTTAGCTAAGCATTTTCTTAAAGAACTGCACAAAATCAATTCCTTGGAAAAATATCCTTAGACAAGTTCCTCAATATATTTTTAAAATCTCTATACAACCTTTATCTTCCGAAGTCTTACTCTCAAAACTGCATAACTTTTCTTCTCGAAGGTCTAGTTTAGGAATTCTATCTGTTTACTACGAACGCAAAACCAAATAAATCAATTGATTGATCATAATGAAAAGTTATGTAGATCCTCAATAGATGGCGTTGTACTGGCTTTCTAAATCGCGGTAATGTTTCGTACCATTTTGTACTTAAAACATAAGCTTTTTATAAATATATTGTCGATCAAGATCGGAATACAGCGCAGTGGTTTCTTTTCACAAACCCTACTCTAGTGTTCTCATTCAGTACACCCACCGGTCAACAGCAGATCGCGACACCTAGTAGCGTGTCGAATATATGTCCAATTGAGCCGGATCGATTATTTTTGTGCGAAGCTAAGCGTAGCTCGCGCCCCATAGCGTGTAACCCGTAGTGGATCGCTACATAGAGGTACACGACCCCTAACATTAACCCTTATGCGAATCGTGGCTCGCGCCCCTTCACGTGTAACCTGTAGTGGATCGTCACACAAAGGTACACGTACCTCAACAGCGAGCGCAACCAGCAGAGGCCACCAGTCACTTGGAACGTGTTGGATATTATTGTAAAAGATGAACATGAAAATTTTAGTGAGGACAAGGTAATAGAAAATAAAGATGTAGAGATCAAAACAGACAGCATAATCAAAATACTAGGACTTATTTGGAACCGTAGCGAAGACTCCTTCCAGTACAAGGTGAGTGTTCCAACGCGGTCCGGTGTACCTGTAACAAAAAGGGCGGTAATTGCGGATATAGCACGATTAGCTTAGCTCCAAGTGTCGTTCTAGCTAAGATATTTATACAAAAGTTATGCTAGAATGCCCAATTCTAGCTCAAAAAGTTATTGTAAATATTCTTTATTCGATCCCAATTCATATGAACCTAATTATGGGATTATGTTATTATTAAAAAAATATGCAAAAAAGGTGTAAAAATATGGTGTAAAAACATGACATTGTGTTCGAACACCTCAAAAACATTCAATTTTCAATTTTTTTGATTACAATTAAGTTCATATTCTTAGAAAATATGTTGTTAACGAAAAATAATAATTGTTATGATTACAGATAAAAATTGCGATTTCAGGAATACTCGACAGAACGTTCTAACGATACTATTTAAGGTGGAAATTACTTGAAGAAATTCTACAGTGTACTTCAAAGCATGAATAAAATACCCTCGAAGTTCAAACAATTTCTGATTATTCCTTCCCTGTTTAAAAAGTTCACGAAAAACAACAAAATTTCAGCCTTCTAAACGTGTTTCCCCCCTTAATAAAATGATTGCAACCATGGTACAAAGCGAGAGCGCGCGGAACTTCGCCGTCTCTTTCTCTGAGCAAGTTATGCTTGCGAAGGAGAATTTTTATTTAGAACTCTCCCGGTCTGCCAGGCCTGGGAACGAGCCAGGTACGGCAGATGATTCAAGTGCCGGAGGTCGCAGAACGATCTCTATCCTCCATAAGCACAGACCTGGGGGTGACAGGTGAGGCCATCTGTCACCATAGGAGAAGAACGATATAGGAGAACACCATAGAACGGGAACACCGTGGTTCCCACACACGAGGTGATCATCTACAAAATGCAACGTGTTCAAATTATGTTAGAGACGATCTAAAGTGACAACTGATTATGTACCGCCGAGACTATTTAGACCATAATTACGAATTTCATTTACACTTTTCTATGTAATAAATATAGGGATTTACTACCACTAGTATTTTAATACTGTATTTTATTTGGGGATAAGAAAAAAATAACAACATAGTAACGAAAATTTACCGACGTTGACCTACTAGTTATATTACCAGTACGCCATGTCACACACTATATTCAATTTACGTAAATTAAATGTAGGACAACAGCACTGCAAAGAGAAGGAAATCTTGATACAAACCCTTTTTTTTTTTTTCACACATCACATCACATCACACAGCCTTTAATAGTCCACTGCTGGACATAGGCCTCATGGCCTTTTTTTTTTTAACGTGTGGAAATCCCCTCGGACCGTCACCCCGCCGGGGCTCTCGTTCGGCGGGGCGGTGTGTCGGACTCGAACCGACTAAAACCACACGGTGTGCCCTCTTTGCGCTTCCAGTTTAGGAGGGGTCCAGGTAGTTATCGCCTTCTGGACCCCTCCCAGCGCCGGCCCGCTCCTGATGCAGGCTCCGTCTCAGTGGACCTTCTCTTTAGGCGACGTCCGGCACACGCGGACGCCGCCCCCTCGCGGCTGGCCAACTAATGCGGGTGAAGGGGAGAACCCATCCCGTCCACCCGCGGCCACACACAGGACGGCATGAGGCGCAGGTAGGCGCGCCTCCGCCGCCCGGTTCGCCGGCGGCGGATCAGGTCCGAGTGGAGGTCGTCCTCCCGGGCCTTCTCCGCCGCCCCCTTCTGCGAGATTACCTCCTCGCAGAAGGTTGCGACCGCGGTAAAACAACTGTCGCTACCGGCCATGGAGCGAATTACGGCCGGTAGCCAGAGATCTGCTCCGATGACTGCAGTGAGGGCCCGGCGCTGCGTCGCCTATGCGGGGCAAACCGCCAGCGTGTGCTGGGCCGAATCCTCACTGCAGTCGCAGTGGTGGCAGGCGGGACTCGATTCCCTCCTTGCGACCGAGTACAGGTACTTTCCGAAGCAACCGTGCCCAGAAAGCACCTGCGTCAGCCGGAAGGAAAGGGTCCCGTGCTGCCGCCCTGCCCACTCGGCGATGACCGGCTGGAGAGCCTCCACGGCGGCGAAGCCAGCGCGTGGAGTCTCCAAACGGAACGGCCATCTGACCATGGTGGCTCGGCGAGCGGCTTCGCGCCACTCGCGCACGTCTTCGGGCGGAGGGCGAAATCCGCTCTCCGCCCGGAAGTCAGCCACTCGCCGATAAACTTCGGCGAGCACTTCCGCCTCCAAATCCCAGGGGGGTGTTCCGGCCAAGGCGCAAGCCGCCTCGGTGGACACCGTGCGGTATCCGCGTATGCCTCTGACCGCCAATATCCTCTGGGGGCGCCAGAGGCGCGCCCTATTCGGGGCGGTCAGAGCCGCCACCCACACCGGTGCACCATAAAGCGCCATGGACCGGACAACCCCCTCGTACAGCCGCCTCGTGGGAACACTGGCCCCGCCCTGGGCAAAAGTCGCCCTAGGGCGGAGGCAGTGTCCACCAGCTTCGGACCAAGCTGTCGGAAGTGCTCGTCGAAGAGCCACCTACCGTCTAGGACCAGACCCAGGTACCTCATCTGGGCCCGGACCGGTACGAGGACCGAGCCGACCTCGATTGAGGCGCCGGCGGGTGGACCACGACGGGGCCCATGGAATAATAGGGCCTCCGTCTTATCCAGGGCCACCCGTAATCCCAACGCCTCAATGCGCCCGACCACCTGGGAAACTCCCGTGGCGGCCAGGCGCGCCGCCTCCTGGAAGTTAGCCCCCCGGGCCGTGACTAAAGTGTCATCCGCGTAGCAGATGACACCCAGCCCGGGGGGGGAGACGCCCTCGAAGGGCCCAGTCGTACCCGATGTTCCACAGGAGAGGTCCTAGGACAGACCCCTGCGGAACACCGCACGACATGGCCCTGCGTCTCAAGACGCCATCTCGGTCCTCGTACATGACGGTTCGCTCCTCAAGATAGTCTGCCACCAGCCGCCTCAGGTACTCCGGCACTCCGTGGTAGCGGAGCATCTTGATACAAACCCTATATCAACCCATCTGGCCAGCGTGTTATAGTAGGCTAAAACCTCCTTTCCATAGAGAGGCCTATAGCTCTACAGGCTGATGATATGTGTAAAACTGAAATTTTGATGATGATTTTGGTTTGTGATGTTTTCAGAGTCAGTATAAGTCAAGGTTACCTTTCTTTTCTTCTATAATTGATGAAATTTTCCATTTGAAAAAAGTTTTGACAGTCAGTTAATTTACACATTTTCATTTATTTCAGCTTTTTGATTGGAAGCCTTTTAGTTGCAGCAGTTTATTGGATATTTACAACCCGCGGTGGCGAGGCTACGCAGGAGATAATGTGGTCACCCGGTAGTGGTCTCATAGAGCCAGAACCATGGTTACAAAGTGCTGATGGTGGATATGCAGGCTGGTCACCCGGGAGCAGCGCGTATGCGGCATGGTCCCCCGGTGCATATTTACATTTGGTTCCTTCTACCACAACATATGTTCCTACTACGACTTCAACCACTCAGCGCACTAGGCGGACTAGACGAACAAGATTACCCTCGCATTTACCACCCGATTCTGATCCTGATTCGCCTAAGCCACCATCTTCGATGTCGTCACCGGGTTCCGAAGATGTCGACAACAACAACAATGACAACAAGCAATTTTCGCAGTTATCGCAGGAACCTCAAGACTATCCACAACCACCTGAGCTTGATGTTAGTGATGAAGATATAAAAGAAAATTATGACGATGATAAAATACATAAACCGCCGTCAGTAGTTAATCAGCCACCACCGGAAGAGGACGAACCGACAACGGAACCATCAATGATGAAATCAGAATACGATCAACCAAACTGGAAAAGCAGGGATCAAAACGAGGAAGCCTATGAAGAAAATCCACAAGACTTAGTGAATACTCGACCACTGGATAAGCTTCCTGTCGAGGGCTGGGGATATGATTACGGCAATTAGGCTTAAAGTATTTTTCTTTTCAAAATAACTTTTATAAAAGTAATAGGAAATAAAATAAAAATGGCTGTTGTTACTCTTAAATATATTTCAAGTAAATTGAATAAGGTCAAATAATGTACGGTTTTTCTTTTTCTCGGGTTTTACACCATTAATGCAAGGTAACGATTAATAAATATCTATTTCTCATCAAAACCCCTAATGGTCCACTGCTCCTTAGAAAGGAGGTTTTGGCCTACTATACTATACTAGCCAGACGGGTTGGTATATCATTTGTATCAAATTTTTCTTCTCTTTACACTATTGTTGTCCTACGTAGTTCGCTCCCTTAGTCGGCAGTAGCATATTAATGGGAAAAATCCTTCTTACACGCCCACTACTGTTACTCCTGTACACCAGGTTCAACAGCAATGACCCACGAACACACCGAGTTATGACACTCGGGAAGTCCCAGGAACAAATTATACTGTCTTGGAACCCGCAACGAAATTAATCAGAAGAAAATTGGAAGAGTTAGAAATACAGTTAATCAAGCTTAGCAAAGCGGGAAACAAAATGAAATAAAATAGGCACACCCCCTAGGAAGCATCACGGCCACAAAATCCATGCTTCGGCACGAATGGGCCGGCTCGACCGGAGTGATAATACGGCCTCACAGAAAACCGGTGTTAAGCAATTCTTTCGTTACCTTTCACTGAGTGAGTGAGGTTACCGGAGCCCAATTCCTCCCTCCCGCTGACTCGAGCGGGAGGGACTCCAAGGGCGGCAACTCACTTGTGACTTTTGAGTTGCAGGTGTACATGGGCGGCGGTACTTGCTCACCATCAGGTGACCCGTCGGTTCGTTTGCCCCCTTTTCCCAAAAAAAAAATATGGGTCCTAAGTGAGCTATATTTGATTTCTATAATATGTATGGCAGAATCGCCTAAACACACGAAAATTCACCCTAGTCGACACAAGATCCCCATAGTATACCGCCCCAGATGGCACCTGCAAGCCGTTTCGCATTATATAACGTTCATTTTACCAAAGACTACATTCCCAGAGGATACGATGAGCAGACTGTTCACAGTTAGAGTTAGATGTTGAGCATTGACACAATGGTAACTCGACTAATTTAAATGGATACAGCTTGCTCTTAAAGTTACCATGTCCTGTAAGAAATTGTGTGACACAGTGATCCACCTCAAGCCATGTTCTCGACAACCGTTCACGAACAGATTGAAAGAACTGGTAAAGGTGGCGCCCCTTGGATCATTCCTCCCAGCGCTGTTGCCATTCGTTTATAAGGTCATTATAGACATCGGACTGCTGTTGAAGCAATCAAAACTCGTATTTCATGTTTTGTTGTCTTGAATAGTACATGGCTGCACGTCTTTTCACCTCGAGATCGACCGGAAGCACACCCGCCAGCACCGGCAAAGCCTCAGTGCTAACCATCCTATATGCCTTGCACAAGAATATCAGTGCAAGTCATTGGCATTGTAACACTGTTGCCCTATTGGCCCATACAGGTGCACCATAGCACATAGAACCTAAACAGGTAGCTTCGTATATGATCTTTAGTGTATTCAATGATGATTGATATCCTTGTCAACGCACAGAAACTCTTTTTAGGCTTTTCACCAACTATTTTCATATGTTCGATAAATGGAAAGTTTCTTTCTAAAACTAATCCTAAATAACACGCTGAGGTTGTATTTTTTACGGTAACATTGACATATTTAATGCTCGGTGGTGATTTGAGGTTATCCTTTTAAAAGTAAGTGGAAGGTTTTGTTGGATGCAAAAGTTAAGCGTTTTGTTAACCCCAATAAGATATCAAGTTAAAACATCTAGTGGCTAATCTCTCAAACCTCGCCCTAGTATCAAATTCCACCAGTAATAAGCCGTCATCAGCATACGCGTTAAGAGTACATCCGGGTGGTATTGGTATCGCAAGAAAATCGTCGAAGCCCATATTCCACAAGTATGGACCCAGCACTGATCGCTCAGGACATTCTTTTGTAAGCGCCTTCGACACAGAATGATGAACAAGTCTTAGTTTAGTTGTGCCTTGTGAAAAGTTCGAAGAGATAAGGGAATAAATATTTTTAAAGCACTTTCCTGATTTTTATTGCAACAACAGCATGGGCCACCATGCGGTGTCGAAGGCGCCACATATATCTAAGAAACTAGCCAACACATAATGAAATTTTTGACTCCGTGACAAACTTCCTAACCGATATAACCGCATCAATAGTCGATTTAATCAACGTAAATCCCATTTGTCTATCATGAAATTTGACTCCACCAGCAGAAACCAGGACATTCTAAAAGCTTTCCTAACGACGGTAACAACGTGATTGTCAGGTGTTACGTTGTAACAAAGTAAATACACAAACTTAGAAAATAAATAAATAAAGAAAAAAAGATCATTACACACAGACAAACAAAGTAATAGTTGTTACGATCGAATGGAAACCGAGCGCATTAACTATTGATACCATCATAATGACCATATAAGGTAATCGTCGGTATCGGGAGCCAAATTGTTCTGGAAAACGAGCGCCACAGTGTGGTGGTGTGTTTAGAAATATCGAGAAGTGACAGTGGCTGACAACGGGCCGGCTGCCGGTGAATGATACCTTCTCGCTCGGTTGCACCGTTCTTTCCATATCTCTCTCTCGTCTCATACGAACATTCCAGAAAGTAAAGTCCAGCGGAAAGAGGTATTCCGACGCCTGAGAGTTAATTGTTTGCGATTCGTATATGTGATTGTTGTCCACAGTTTTAAAACGTTGTTCAATCAGTGCTATTCTAAAATAATAAAAATAAAAGAAGAAACATTAAAAGCGGATTTCATTATTTGTCAACCCCCAAGGTTTGGTTGCTGTTAAGTAATTTTTCGTGTCTGGATTAATTCGATTACTATTCAACAAGGGATCTTTTCAACCTTTTAATAGTGTAAAGAATTGCTATGGATAGATATATTTCCTAATAATAGTTTAACAACGTTAACGCAATGTAACAGCGAGTATCTTAAGGTTAGTAAAATATTACCTTTTCTATTTAATCATTCCGATAAGTTTTAAATATGTTTCACCGCGTTATTTAATTCCCTCTGTGTATTCCACGCGTGTGTAGTTAACATCGGTGGCTTGTATGTATCTTAATAAGAACCTATAATTCTATAATATTTATTTTGTAGAAATTCCATAAATTATAAATTTCATTACATACTTGATAATAATAAGCTTTGGTTTTTGTAGGGTAGTCTATAAAGAATTACAACCGAGAATTGTATTCTAGATTGTTCATATGAATAATAAACTCATATTTATGTAATTAAAATGTTTGACACATATTTTAATCTCATTTAGGATTTCAAACGTTGTTTTGCTATTTACATTATTTAAACATATAATTTTTCCGTAAATAAATCCGTTCTTAGCTGACCTCTACTCGGTGAAAAGAATACTCCTACCAAATTTCAGGTCTTTAGCTCTAATGGTTCCAGAGATATCGCGATGAGTGACTATATACATGGAAATCTCTTATATATATACACGGTGATTTTATAGGCGTTTTGGAAACGAAACATTTTAATTTGGAATCATCTATAGTACCAATAAAAATGATTAAATCAATTGTAATGTTGTCTAAAAAAAAGTTTCAGTTTTAATATTCATTTTTACTCGATCGACTAGGAAAGTGGTAATGGACTGATCATTCATTCATTATCTTATATGAACGAAACACGTCCGTGGGCGTTTCGGCGGCCGCTGCGCACCGCCACGGTACTATTATAATACAGTACTCCAACTTCATACAAACGGACGAAACGCGAGCTATACCTACGCGCCTCGATCTCGGGGTGCGCTCGGGGCGCAGACAGTCACGGCTGTACCGCAGTGTCGAACGGACGGTGTGTTGCTTTTTTAACAATAACCGCGCGATTTTTTCTCTAAAAATCAGTTAATATGACGAGTAGGAAATATTGTGCTGTTTTTGGATGTATGAATTCGTCAATAACGCATCCAGACATAAGTTTTTTTAAATTACCTAGAAACTCTGAAAGGTAAGACTATAAAATAATTTTACTTACTAGTAGGTACGTACATGTGTGTCTTTTTAATGGATAAGTATTTCCTTTTATCTCACGAAAAAAAAGGTGTTTGGATTAATAAATAAAGCGAATAGAGTAACGGAAAGTTATTGAGACGAGTGAAATAGGTAGTTATATGCGGTTCTGAATGAATCATGATACGGTAGGTACCTACCTACTTACGCTTGTGTTTAAACTTCGGTGCATAATTCGGTGTTTGCATAATTCAAAGTAAAGACGTGGTATTTTATTATTAATAATATTTGTTTATTATCTGTGTGTATGAATAATACTAGAATTTTTTTTACCGTCTGTGTGTCATTAGACAGTTTTCGAAATTTTCACAAAGTGTTTCTGCTGCTACTATAACAACATATACCACTAAAAACTGGTTTTATTTTCTCGGTATTAACAACAACAGCTAGACTCATATATAATATTTAGATGTTTGAGGGTTGTGATTTTAAAACATTCGTAGTCAGCTGTTCAGCTTTTTAATAATTAATTAATTTTTTGACCAAAGAATTTTTGTTTTGAGTTGTTGCGAGTTGTAGGTAGGTACCTAATTTATAGAGACGTTAATAAGCTGAGATAAAAAGTTACTTACTCGTCAGCTGTTTCTTGCATTCTAATTGAGTAAGTAGGTGTTGGAGTTTCTAAGGATTGGAGTTTTGTAACGCGTAAGGAGAAAGCACATTTTTTTTATTCTATAGAAGGATTTTTAAGCTATTGAATCAAGAAATTCTCAAAACCTAACGAAAAATACCTGTCACCACGCAGATTTTTTTCTTTAAAAAAAAATATGTTATGCAATAGCTTTACCGCGGCAGTCTCCGAGAGTGCCACATGTATTTTTTTTTCAGACGTCTTCAATGGTTGAAACTGATCCGGCGAGATGATTTGGAAAACAAACCTAA